TCCGTGCTATTGTTATGATCTTTACCCTTAAGATTAAGCTGAAGATATTTAATAGAGCTATAGGTTAACAGCCAAGGACGGTTTAAAAATATTGAAAAATTTTTGCTTTTAAGTCCTCAAATGTTAAAAAAGAGCTAAATAATACTATTTTGGGGAAGTTTTAGAGATAAAATTGGAATTTCTTAAAAGTTACTCCGAGGTTATAAAGTCTTTAAACCCATTACGAATGAACCCTTTGGGGCTGGGCATGGTGACTCATGCCTGTAATCCCAGCACTTTGGGATGCCAAGGCTGGTGGCTCATTTGAGGTCAGGAGTTCAAGACCAGTCTGGCCAACATGGTGAAACCCTGTCTCTACTAAAAATACAAAAATTAGCCAGGCATGGTGGTACACACCTATAATCTCCACTACTAGGGAGACTGAAGCAGGAGAATCACTTGAACCTGGGAGGCGGAGGTTGCAGTGAGCCGAGATCACACCATTGCACTTCAGCCTGGATGACAGAGCAAGACTCCATCTCAAAAATAAATAAACAAATAAACAAATAAATAAATAAATAAGAATGAATCCTTTGGATCCTTCGAGTGGTGTACCAGGGACCCACTGGTGTGGGGCTTCCTCTGTGCTGGAGGTGTGGCTCTGCAGGCTCCATCTCCCGGCCTCACCATGTGTGACTGGACATGATAGCAGCTTTCTAACTGGTTAGGCTTACCGTTTGTTATTCTGTCATCTGCAGATACTGCACGAATAATACTTCAAATTGCAAATATGACCATGTTAGTCCCCTGATTAAAAGCCCTCTATGGTTCCGGACAGGAGAAACCCCCGCTCCTAAGCATAGGCTGTACGTCTCCTCCTCATGCCCGCCTTGACTGTTGCTAACTTTTGATTTTATTCTCCTAGAACACACTTAAACTGCTTCATGTCTCAGAATATTTCTTAGGCTCTTTGCTCTACTCTGCATGCACTTTTCACCTGTTAGCTTATTGAAGACTCAGCTGAACTGGTATCTTCTTGGGAACAACTTCCCTGACTTTATGATTCATGCTTGTTACTGGCTTGTCCCTTGCTGGATACGCTCCTGCTACTCTTTCCTGCTCTTAATATGTTCTGTTTAGACTATTCAGTTTACTCTTTTAACCACTGAGACTGCCCAGTCAACACCAAGGCTGGATCTTCCTCGCTTTGTACACTCAGTGGTCAGCACAGGGCCAGGAGTCGAGTTGATCTCAAAACTTAGCGTTGAAGTCAAATGAAAAGAGAAGGAATAAGGCTTGAGCACTAGCTTCTGAATTATCTGGTAAATTGGTTTTCAGCAAAGGATTGTAGAAGCTTAGATAGATTTAGATAAATGTATATACATCACATCTTTATAGGGTTTTCAAATCTTACAGAAACTTTCTCAGGGAGCTCTTGTTTATGTCTTATAAATGGAATTGCCAAGCATATTAAAGAGCGTTAAAGAAAATGGAGGCTGTGGCAATGGCATCAGTTTATTTTATATTCTTTTCACAAGTTCCTTTTCTAAGAAAATTCAGCATGTCATCAGTAGGAGTTTCATGTTTTTTCATTGTAACTTTATTGAACCAACTGACATCATAACTAATAAACCTGCCATGTAGTAACCCAATATCACTCAGCAAAATTATTAAATTTGATCAAAATTTGATTTGGATAAATGTAGGAAAAGGCTACCCCTTCTGAGATCATTTTTTTCTTTATTTAAAAAAATGTAAGCAGTAAAAAGGAAGAATAATGCTGAAAGAGGATGTTACCAGACAAGTCTTTAGATGAAGAACCAGATGGATAAAACAGAGCTGCTGTTTATTTTTAGTCCGTAAACACAATCATTCTTGGGGGATGAACAGGTAATGCTCTTACCTGGCACCTCATAATACCCTGAATTCAGAGTTTTGTCATTTTTTATGGCATTGTGTGGCTATGTGACTTTAATGTGGTTTAACTTTGGATTATTCATCTGCAGCAACAGTGAAAAGTACCCAGAGCCTGGTTCCTGGCTGACAGCCACCTCTTTGTCACCTCTCCCTGGAGAACCAGGCTGGGGCAAAACACTTCCCTTCTCAGTATATTCCCTTTCATACCATAGAATATAACTACTTTATTGTCATTGTATTGAGTATCATGACATGACAGTTAATAAACCTGCGATGTAATAACCAGATAGGACTCAGAAAAAATACAATCTTGAAGAATATATGAATTTACACTTCAGCATGATAGAATGTAAGATCTACAAGGCCAGGGAAGTTTGTCTGTTTTGTCAAAATCAATGTATTGTAAATACTTAATACAGTACCTGGTACAATGTAGTAGATGATCAAAAAAATACCTGTTGGAAGGATGAGTAAACTTCTCTGGATTTTGAAGTTCTCCCTATCAAAACATGGGTCTATGCAGTTTGAATTTCCACAGTGTTTCACTTAAACTGTCTCCAAGTTTAAGTGAAAGGCTTCATTGCTGTTAAGGAAGTTTTGAGCATTGGTCATGCAGGGAGTGTATTTTTGAAGCATGGATCTCTTTATGGTCCCCTGAAATCACTGTCAAGACTAGCTACAAGCTGTATCATTCATTTCCATATGACAGTACTAGTAGACTGCTGTTTACTAGTAGAGCTAGTAAACTGCTCTGTAACAGAACAGTTTTAGAAATACCATGTGCCTTTGTGTGTGTGTGTGTGCGCGCGCGTATGTGTGTGTGTGTGTTCTGAGTGTATGTGATAAAGGGGTTTTGGGGAAGGAGTTTTAAAAATCCTCTTTCCCATTTCACATGTGCTTCATTTCATGACGCTCCTCTTTCTTCTTCCTTAGCCATGTGGAGCTGAGCCTTTTCTAGGACAGTTTTATCGCTTTGTTTTAGAAGTGGTGTTATAGAGCTCACCCGCTGAGGCCTTGGGCCCCACTGTTGCTGAGGGTGGCGAGGGGTGTATTTTCTCGTTCTCTTTTTCCTTTTTGGTGTGGGAGGTGGGGTACACAGTGGGTAGACTCCTAGTCTCAGTCCTGGTTTTTCTTAAGACCAAATTTGGACAGCCAAGAGAAAGGAATGAGTTGTGAGGTTATTTAGAAAACATTTCATACATTCTTAAATCCACAGAATGGATGTTTGTTGGAGAGGAAGGTGAAGTGAGCTTGCACTGTGGTTCTGAGTATCTACAAACCTTTCTGATCCATGTATTACAAGTTTTTAGATTATTCTGGGAAATAGGATGAAGTGCAGTTCTCCAAGGAGCAACTTCAGTTTATAAATCTAGGCTTAGATAAGTCATTGTTTTTTAGTTCATGCTCACAGATACTGACATTTGGGTTTCCCTATCCCTGCCTCACCCCTGGAATGTAGGTCAGAAGATTCGAGTTCCAGGTCCTGTCCTGGGGCCTGCTAGGAGGCTGGCTGTGGCAGGTCACACTTAGCCCCTCTCATCCCACTTTTCTGCCCTGTCTGTGGGGTTGATTATAACACTGTCCCCTTGGATTTGTTGTGTGATGTAAGTCAGACCAAGCATGAGGACAAACACTAAAATCTAAAATGACGCATGACAGTGAGATCCTAAAGGCCATGAATCTCACTTCCCTTCCCCTTGATGTGAAGTGTATCCACTCAAAAAATTAAAGTTAGTTCTTGCTCTGAATGTTGCTTGTCTTTGTTGTTTGAGCTGTTAGAAAGCTTGGGAGCAGATTTGTGGGGCACTTTTATCAAGGACTCCATGACCTCCATTGTGTCTGATAGCCTCATTTCTCCATCTATTTTCAGCCTCTTTCTTTGCTTCCCCTTGTTGTTTTTCCTAATTTATGCTGTCTGACTGTATTGTATGTACCTTGACATAAGCAGCCTTAAATCCTTTTTGGAACAAGTCTTTAGATGAAGAACCAACCAAACAAGTAAATATTGTTGCACCAATTTGCTTTCTTCTTTGAGTTTTAGGATAAGGATGAATGACAGAACTCTTCCTCAAAAGAGGTGTGGAATCTGTTATGTCCTCCTCAAAGGCAACCCAAATGTGAAGGATGATCTGTTTCAAAAAGTCTACTTCTAGGAAAGGGAAGGTGTTGAATTTTGTTAGCTAAATAACCTAAAATTCTTAGCTGATACTATTCAGAATTGGGAGTTGCTAGAGGAAAAATGCCCTGAGTTAAACAACTTTTATTTGTATTGAAATTGACCATTTGTTTGTAGGAAACTTTATTTCAAGTTTGTATGTATGCTGTCAGGGAATTTTTAACTAAAGAATTTTATTGTTTTGAGACAGGTTCTCATGCAAATGTATTTTTCATTATCCTTTAGTGTGCCCTTGTTGGGGACAAAGGTCTTGATCATATCCAACAATGAGAAAAAGAGACATGATCTTGTGGGACTGATGTTAATATTTTGAGTATTGTTAATATTTTGAGTATTGTTAATATTTTATTGCAGTTTTATTTTGTGTCATTTGTGGTAATGAATGTCCATCAGCTATTGAAGTGCAATTTCATTATTGATTGACTTAATGCTAATCAATCCTCTTCATGGATAGTTTTGTTAGTCCACACCACAATTCCCTAAATTGGAAGCCTCCTAGTACAAGTGGATGATCTGCAAATGTAGTTTAATTTATTTAGACATCTACAGAATATTATTGGTCAGTCTAAGAGTTAAACGATATTTTTTGTCTCTTGATCAGTGCTAAGCTTAAATCTCTAAGAGAGGAATTTGTTTTCCTTGTCTACTTCTAGACTGAAAACACATAGGAAATTAAAATATACATATCATTATGAGTTTTTCAGAGGTTTTGAACTTCTACTCTGTCTGAATGGCCAGGACAAGAATTTCAGCCAAGCCTAGATAGTTTAAATTCACCTCACAGTTGTGGTAAATTTCTCATTTTGACTTTGTGAATTTAATCTGTAGAACCCATGAGAGCATTTTGGTGAAAAAAAGAAGTCTCTAATGTTTATAATGCTGAGGTAAATGTGTGATGTAATTCAGTAACATATATTTTCTTTTTCAGTTCTTTCGGGAGGACCATTGCCTCAAGGGCATGAATTTGAACTGTATGAAGTGAGATTTCACTGGGGAAGAGAAAACCAGCGTGGTTCTGAGCACACGGTTAATTTCAAAGCTTTTCCCATGGAGGTAAGAGTAACAAATCATCTTGTAAAAATCTTGTTTTCTGAGTACAGTATTCAGCGATTTACTGAAAATGATTTAGTTTAAAAGTAGATGCATAGCTCTTGCATTTTATCAGTTTATACTAAAATTTTAAAAATGCTTAATGCAACAGAAGCCTAGGGCAGCACACGAAGCTTCCTTCCCATCTACTCTTGTGGCTTGGCATGTGCCATGAGCATGTGGCCAGAAAGGCAATCTACAGTATTAAATTGGACCCTAGTGTTACTATTCTTGTAAAAATTCTACCTCTGCAAATTCAGTAGGTCACTTTTGTGGATGCTATGAATGGGTGACGAGCTGAAGACAAACAACCATTGGAGAAACTGCAACAGTAATGAAAAGTCTAGGTTAGCTAGTTTAAAATTGGTGGGTTGCTTTTATTCACCCCAAGCCACTGGGGGAGGGAGGGAGAAAGATTTTTCGAGAGTGATTCTTTTGTCCAAAGAATTCTTCCCCGACTTACATTCTTAGTTAACTCCTGCTCTTTCTTTGATAGCCAGTTGAAATCTTATGTCTTCTGTGGGACTTTTCTCTAGTTTCTTCTCTAGGCAGAATTCCTCTGTCTCTTTGTGCTCCCTGTATGCTTGATAGGACACTGCCACGGCGCTGGCCCCATGGGTTGTACCATTTAGTCTTCATAGCATCTTTCTCACTGCCTGTGAGCTCCTGAGGAACGGAGCTCCCTCTCGCCCCCCTTTTACTCCCATCATTTGCCCACTGCCAGGCACAGTGGAGACAGACAGTCCACACTGGTGAAAGTGAGGGGATGTTGGATTCAGTCCAGGTCTTGATGATATTTCTAGAAGGAACCTCAGTTTACCCCAGAAAATAGCCCTTTAGTGTCATGTAAGAGTATGTTTTGGGGGCCGCTGGTCTTCCAGTCTTTTCTCTGACATTCCCAACTGTGTATGTGCTTAATATTAAATATAAAATTGCTCATGACCGGATACGATATCCAGTACCACTTCAGAGGCTGGAAATCATGGCTGTATAATTTTATGTCAGTGATACATGTATGTTAGAAGATGCTGTTGAAGTGTTTCGCAGCATTACTTTAATTATAATAAAAAACAATCTCTGGAAGCTCAGGATATGTCTTTCATTATTAATAAAAGATGTGAACTTTAGATGTGAAATGTTCCATGTTTTAAGACTGGAGAGAGAAAACCCAAACCAGCATATTGAAGTGTGGAGGAGGTGTGCAGTGGTGCGGACAGTAAGGAGAAGCACTTTCTCAAAGGCCTTGATGGGGAAGGCCCTCAGAGCTTACCTGTCTAGGAGTTGTTTGCTCAGTACCTATAGATATCCTCTCCTTTCTACTGCCTGCGACACTTCTGTGTCACCTCTGGCTCCTGTCCCATCCTCAACCAACCTGACAAGGAAAAATTCACACCAGAATGCATCAAAAAGGAAACAAGACACAAAACAATCCAAGACAGTTAACCCCACTGGGTCGTGTGTCACAAAGTGAGGGGCAAGACCACCCTGGACTGTCAAGGTCTTTGCCCTGCCTCCTTTAGGTTTCAAAGGCCATTTCTTCATTTCATCTCAGCCCTCAAAGACAGACTCTAGTAACAAAAGTTCTGGGGAGAGGTAGCTGTAAAAGGAGACGCAAGAACTTCTGGTTGAGAATTCCATAGCTCTGCTCGTGACATGAAGAACTTAAAAGCTGTGGGAAGCGTAATTAGCAAGCTGCGCTCTTTGCTCTGTACTCAGATAGCATTTCTGGACCGAATATCCAGACTGGTTCGGTTACTTGGTGGCGTTTCAACAGCTCCGGTCCATTAAGCACAGGTAATGGTTTGTTTTGAATGAAGATTAAATCCTGGTAGTGAGGCTTTGTTTCTGCAGAAATATTTGTATTTCTGTATTTAATATCCTAAATACTTTTGTATGTGTATTTAGGATAATGGAATTGCTGACTATGATTTTTCCAAAATACGTGGCGAATAATATTTATGTTCTCTTTTAATCCCAGAGTATCCCTGATCCAATTCCAGAGAAAATACTTGTATCAGTCATCTGGTGTTCACTTAGTGCTCTATCCTGTTGAGTGTGTAAATGCTATGGTTATGCAGAACTAGGAGAAGATCTCTGCAAGCCAGGATTGTTTATTGATTTATTGTTGTGGAGACTGTGAAAACTGAGGTGGATTCTGAGGAGGAGAGTGCTCTTGTGTTATGGTAAAAGAGAGGAGAGAGAGTTTCCATGTGGAAGAATGTCCTGGGAGTGGGGATGAGTTGGCTCATACAGAGTTAGGTATGAGTTGGCTTATACAGGGGACTACAGGTCCCCTGGTTCTGAACTGCCACCAAGGGCCACCTCAAGCACAGGGACGTGGCCAACCGCACAGTGTAGAGTAAGACCAGGTACGCTTTTGGGAACGTGGTTTTTTTCCCTCTGTGTGTGTGTGTGTGTGTGTGTGTGTGTGTGTGTGTTTTTAAAAGGTCACTTTCCATATTTTACTTACATTTTAAGACTGACTTTTTTTTTCCCTCAAAATCACATATCCACGCACCTTTTTCTTTTTTGTTGATTTCATTGAAAATTAAATGGCTGGCTTATTAAACAGACAGACACTGTAAGCAAATACTCTGTCTGTTACATGGAACACACAGGAATGACCTTTTTTTTTTTTTTTTTGAGAGGGAGTCTTGCCCTGTCATCCAGGCTAGAGTGCAATGGCACAGTCTCGGCTCACTGCAACCTCCGCCTCCCAGTTTCAGGCGATTCTGTGCCTCGGCCTCCATGGTAGCTGGGATAAGAGGTGCATGCCACCACGCATTATCTACTAAAAATACAAAAATGTTTGTATTTTTAGTAGAGACGGGGTTTCACCATATTGACCAGGCTGGTCTCGAACTCCTGACCTCAGGTGATCCGCCCGTCTTAGCCTCCCAAAGTGCTGGGATTACTGGTGTGAGCCACCTCGCCTGGCCAGGAACAGCTTTTAATAGAAATCCATCGAGCTATCTTCCCTCACCTTTTAGAAATTATAAATATAACAATAGCCCTAAAGAGATTTTTGATACTCCCGGTAGTCAGCACTGACACGGTTTCAAAAATTAACAGAGTTTGGGACTTTAAATGGTTTAAACTGCAGCTCTACACTAAACAAGATGTATTTGTGTTTTTCCTTCTTGATACCTGTAGGTTTCAGAAACACATATCTTTCCACAGCCATCTGACACTGCTTATCATGCTCTCATCTGGTAAATCTGAATTCTATTGTGAATACTCCAGGTTATACTTAAATGACAGTGCCTTATAACAAGGGAACGATATAATCATGCTGCATTTTTCCTCCTGTTACCTGAAAGGGTCTCACTATGTTGCCCAGGGTACATTTGAGCTGATCTCAAGGGACCCTCCTGCCTTAGCTTCCTGAGTAGCTGGGACTATCGGTGTGTGCCACTGCACCCAGCACCAGCTGGAATCCTTTTCCGTAATGTGTGGGTGTTTTACATTGTGATATTCAGTCAAGACATTAATGTGAGTAGAAGATTATTGATTTAAGACAAGTTTGAGTTCAACTAAAATTAATTCTTGTGTGTTTGTTCTGGTGGCTGTGGAAGCTCCTTATTTTCTTTGAACTTTGTTGGATGTCTTAGCTTGTGAAGTCCAACTTTAATGCTCTATGATTTTGTTTTTGCCATTTTGCTAACACACTAGTTAGCAAAATGCATTCACTCCATGCATTCACCATTCCACTGGAACTGTTTATTCCCTTTACATTAACTTCTGTTACAGATTTAAGGCTGCTGGGTATTTAGGCTCACAGGTTCACATTCTATGTTCAGGCTGTATATTCTATGTGTGTCATTTATCTGTGGACACTGCCATCTTTGCTGCTTCAAAGTAGCCTAACTCTGTGGTCTGTGTAATTTTTGGTAAATTATAGTGAATTTTTATACATGAATAGCTAGTCTCATAATTCCAGGGAAGAGAGCTTCTCAGGTATTTAGATTTTTCTGGATCAATACAATTTACAAAAAAGTGGGGCTGGGTGTGGTGGTTCACACCTGTAATCCCAGCACTTTGGGAGTCTGAGGCGGGCAGATCACGAGGTCGGGAGATCGAGACCATTAACATAGTGGAACCCTGTCTCTACTAAAAATGCAAAAAATTAGCCAGGCGTGGTGGTGGGCGCCTGTAGTCCCAGCTACTTGGGAGGCTGAGGCAGGAGAATGGCATGAACCTGGGAGGCGGAGCTTGCAGTGAGCTGAGATCGCACCACTGCACTCCAGCCTGGGTGAAAGTGATGGGGAGACCCACAGTGTGTCAAGTTTTAATTTTTCCAATTAAGAACATTACTGTCTGCTGTCCTCATCATTTTATAAAGAGAGGGTCTTTAATAGCCAAATGTAGGAAGGATGTGATCTCAAAATAAGTCATGGACCCATACATTGAATAGATTTAGGTTTTTAAAAATGTACATTATTTCAATTTTTCTTGCATCACTACAGATGAATGGTAATTTTGTCAGGGATAGGCACTGATCCTGCCCACAGACTAGCAAGAGATCATGTATGGTGAGCCTGACTTTCTTGCCTTTCAGGCCTAAAAGCCTATGATTGAAGAGTGAATTGCCAAGAAGGAGGTCTAACCATATTGTATGCTGGACCCTTATCTATCTTTATATTGTATTTAAAGAGCAGCTGCTGCTCTGTGTACTCTGAAAGGACTTAGTGACGATTGTGCCACATACCAGCTATTGATGGAAAGTTGGGTGCATTAGGTAAATAGAAAAATAATTCATTGTACAGAGCAGGATGCTTTAATTGTGAAGAGTCCAGGCCTGGGTTGCAAAATAGGCCAACAAAAATATTCTGAAGACTTTATCTCCTAATATAGCGCTAATCCGTAAACTACATTTGGCCCCTGTACCAGGTCACCAGATATCCCACATCTCTTCTTCTCTTTCCAGGCGGCACATGGTAGTGTCTAGTATTTAGTGTTCTCTT